GCCCCAGTTCCTCGCGCCTAACAGGAGGGGGATTCAGTTTCCCTGCAGCTTGGCAGCTTTGCAGGTTGTGCTGGAGAAGGAGCCGTGGGGAGCCCTGGCTGGGCTCCCCGCGTGGGGTCCGGGTGCGTCCCCCCGCAAAGGGCTCAGCTTCCACGTGGTGCCAGGGAAGCTGCAAGCCTGTGGAAAATCTCTAATCATCTACCTGAGTCGTAAACGGGCTAAAATCCATGAAGCTTTCCCGGCGGCACCCCTGTCGTGGTCAGCCAGGGTGGTGGTTCGGAGGCGGCACGGCCGGGAGCGTGTCCCGGGGCTCGGGCGGGCTGGGAAGCGGCATCCCGGCGGCAGGGCCAGCCGCGGGAACCGGCGCTGCTAAAAATACAACAGTGTGAAACTGCTGGCACCTCCGCTTCCCTCCGCCGCCCGCCTGAGCCGCGGGATGTCTGCTTCGCTTTGACGTGCCCGGCGAGCCGCCCTATAGCCAGGACTACTTCCTCCTCCTCTTCCTCCTCCTACACGCCAGGAATCCTATTTCAGAGAGGGGAGGTGGGAAGGGAGCCGGAGGAAAGGGGCTGGGGGCAGCGAAGGGGTCGGGGGGTGATGTGCGTCCTGGTGAACGCGAGTGTCTGGGGGGCAGCTCGGATCTGGGGTGCCCCGCATTAAAGGGGGGAGCGGGGCCGTTTCTTGCACCCATAAATCATGGGAATTTCTTGTGGAGGGGAGGAGTGACTAAGCTGTTAAAGACGGGCTTGTTCCCTTGCTCCACAGCTGGATCTGGGACATTTTAGGGTGAATCGGTCAGTGAGAATCGATCTGGGAGGGAACCCCGCTATGTGCGTGGTGGATGGGGCAGCAGACCAGGGCTGCACACAGACGATGCTACCCCATCACGTGGGGTGCCACCCCATCACCTCCCAGAGAGGCTGGGGGGGCTGCCTTTTCCCTCCCCTAGGCAGCATCCGATGGGGGCTTCCCCACACTGTGCCGAACGAAAGCCAGCCTTGCGGGGAGGCAGGATGCAGCTGGAAGAGCCTGGCTGCCTGGAAGAGGCAATAAATCTCTGGAAGCTGGAAAATAGCAGCGAGGAGGAAACGCTGGGGCCTGCCGTGCCACCTCCGCTGTGCCGGCAGGCTGTGCGGGGTGCCATCTCCCCGTCCCCGGGGAGCACCGGCGATGCACCTCTGCAAGCACCGCGGGGCTGGCAGGGGGCCGGTCGGCTGGCCGGGGAGGTCGGCTCGTGGAAAGCAGACCCAAGAGCGATGCAGTGCTGGCGTTGCTGAAGTTGCAGCTTTTAGATTGATGCTTTCCTTACAGGAGTTCCCAAAATATTTAAGTGGAGAGCTGTGCTGGGGTGTATCTGCGAGGAGCCTCTGCGTCTGCCAAGCCGGGCGCGCAGGGTGCAACCAGCACAAGATGACAGATACAGAAACCCAGGGATATTTAATATATGAGGATATCCCTACAGCAGAAACCCAGGGATATTTAATATATGAGGATACACAGCCTAGAGATGAGCATCACGCTGCCGTCAGTGATTGGAGCTCTTCTGGCTCTCATGTTGGCAAACAGCAGCGGTTGTAGGATGCAGAGGGAAGAGAATACCGAGCTTGTATCTGGAACCAGTTATTGTATTAAAAATGAGATAATCCCAGGCAAGGTGCGACGGAAGTCAGGGTTATTCTTGCAAGCCGACAAGGTTTTCTCCCTCCTGTCATCTTTCCTTTGGGAAGAAAGATGCCTTAATTACATTCTGTGCTTCTTGGTGGTGGAAGGATGCATGGTTTTCATGGAAAAAGTTATTCATCATAGCCTCAACCCTGTTTTTGTTAGTAAGTGATGTCGTTTTCTCCTAAGAAATCCAGCTGCTGTTGGATTAAACCTTCCATTCAGAGGTCCTCTGTGCTCTGTTAAAAAAGCAGATGGAGTCAGGCAGGGCGAGAGGGACGTGGGGTGTTCCTGGGGTGCATGCAGGACAAAACTGGGACCGTCTGGAGATGGTTCAGCTGGCTGCCGTAGGCAGAACTCACCACTGGGGTGGGTTTGGTGAGTCGGAAGAGGCTCCATCCCTTCAGATGATGCTCCTGAATGATTAAGAAATACCTCGAGGACAGCTTGCAGCCTGCTTTCGCTTCCGTGCCGGGTGTTTCAGGGCGGATTTGATGGGAAAGCAGCCGCGGCTCCTGGCGCGGGTGTCAGCCCAGCCTCGCCGCGGGGGGCAGGGGTGCTGGGGTGGGTGCTGCTGGGCACGGGGGCCGCAGGCGGGGCAGAGCAATGTTTCCTTGCAGGGAAAAAAAAAAAAAAAAAAAACAAACCAAAAAAAGCTGCAGCCTTTTCTTCACCTCTCCCAGCCGGCACAGAAACCTTGGGATCTCTTCTCCCCTGGGAGCCGCTGAGAGACCTTTACTTGAAGAGTGGTACTGATTAATCTGGGGACATTTTCCTTCTCCCAAGAAGATAAACATGGGCTTCATTATGCCCTCAGACAATGAACAAGCCATGCCAGGCTGGATTTGGGTAACTCTCCACAAAGCCACGAGCTGCCTTATTTGGAGCTGGATTTGAGCACGGGTTGGCTTTCGTGACTTTTCTCCGTAGCCAGTGTTTGGAGAACCTCGGGCTCTCCCAAGTGCGAGAGGGATGAGAGACCACGCTGGCAGGGAAGTTGCACTGGTTGTTGTGAGAGAAGTGTTAAAATCTGATTATTTTGGTGGCAAACTGGGGAACGGCTTGTAAAATTTCCCCCTCCCTCTCCAGGAAGCCGGTGGGGATTTTCTCCCTCCGGTAAGTGGGAAGGCCCTGAGGTCAGCCTGCCCTGTGGGTTTTGCACAAATTGTGTAGGTTTGCCCCAGCTTTGATGGTGCCCCTGTAAAAATCTCTTGGCTGGGATTTGCAGAAACGAAAAAATTGGAAAACCACCAGCTGACCTCCCGAGGGGCAGCACCGGACTCCCACCGACAGCCTGTTTTGCAGATGCCAATCCTCGTCTGTTCACCAAGGCTCTGCTGTGCTTGCATAACCGGAGACTTTGCACTTTTACAGAGAAAACTCTTTTTTTTTTTTTTTTTTTTAATGTGACCTTCATGGTGCCTCTCATGCCTGCAGCTGACCTGAGTCAGACCCTTTTGAAAAAAATCATGTTTCTGCTTTTGTAGTTAGGGTAGTTATCTTCCCTTTTTTAAGATGAGTGACCTCGAGGATTTAGAACACTCAAAATTAAATCGGCATTTGAGCAGGCGCTTCCAGCCTTTTGCAGAAGTGATATTGAATTCTTAAGGGTTTGGGGTTTTTATGTGTGTGTTTATTTTTTTCCCCTCTCTCTCATGGTTTTAAATGGAAGGGGAGGATCATGGAGAGCACAGCAAGTCCTGCTGGAAATGCTCTGGCTCAAGTTTCTCTGAGACACCTTCCCTGTTGCAGTGTCCCTGGTTTGCTCCCGTTCTCTGCTGCCATTCCCAGTCCCTCCCTGAAGGAGAAAGCGGTGAGGAAGTCAGTCATAAAACTTCCCATTATCCGGACATAAGCATTCCAGTGGTAAACTGGGTTGGTGCTCCGTTATGCAGAACATCTCCTCCCGTGTTCGAAGCGTGTTTCTACCCTTGCCTTGGGGTCTCCATCGCGTGTGTCCGTGCGCACACGTGCGTGTTCTGCTGGGCGAGGCAGCGGTTTCAGCCTCGTCGACTCGCGGAGCTGCTCAGCTCTGTCGAGCAGCCTCGTGGTAGCCTTGGTGTGGTGGTGCCTCGGCTTGCACCGGGGCTTTGCGCCGCCTCAGCCCCTCTGTTGGGACAGTAAGCAAAGCCGTGCGTGCCGGAGGAGAGGGGGAGCGCGCTCCCGGCTCACAGCCCCCCCCCCCCCCCCCCCCATGGGGACCGGCGTTATGGTTTCTTTTTTTTCTGTCGCATTATGAAATCAAACGGGCAGTGGAAGTGATGGCCGCAGGGGTTCCTGTGCTCATGGGACACCTTGCAAGAAGACTAGCTACTAATCAAAGCGCTGCTGTGAGGGCAGCTGGTGTGAATCCTTGTCTGTCCCCTCCTGATGTGGGACATCCCCGAGACCCACGAGGAGGGGAATAATGGGATATAACACAAAGATGCTGCTGGAAATGTCACCGAGTCCCACTGACTGTGGTTTCTTAGTCATCTGCGTGCTCCTAAACACTGTGCTTGCTAAGTGTCAAGATGTGGGTATTATGAAGAGTGTGTCTGGGGGGGGTTGACGGTGTTTTGGGTCCCCTGAAAGCGGGTGTGGCAGCAGTTCAAGGCCACGGTGTCTCTGCTCTTGCTCTGCATTATTAGCAGTTCTGTTGCCTTTTGGTGTCATGTCGGTGAGGCAAGCCTCCCTGGAGGCAGAGCAGCTTTGGGGGGTGCAGAAAGCTCTGTCCTGCCAGGTCTGTTCAGACTGGAAGCCTGACCCTGGATGGGAATTAATGTGAACGTGAGACTGGAGGCAGAGGGGAAAAACTGATGGTGTCCCCCCCATTTTCTGAGCCACAGTCTTCCCATCCTTCCTACCCAGTTCTCAGCAGGTCAAAAAAAAACCCAAACCGCTCTTTGTACATCACAGAGAAATAAAATGGGGTGATAACAGCCCGCTGGGAAAAGGGAGTAATTGGGGCTGATCCTGACTTGTGTTGAAAAGCTATCCTAAAAGCGTCAGTCGCACATCTTGTGCCTCTTGGGTAAGGCTGAGCCTTCCGTTTTAATGCAGTAATAAATGAGCTCTTTGGAAAGAAATCGCCAGTGGGAACTGGAAAGGGCTTTTCACATCCCCAGAAGGAGGGGTCTCCTCATAAAGCAGGGAAGACCGTGTGGCTCGTGGCATGGGGCGCAAAGCACATTGCAGGGCTGGGACGACGGTCAGGGAGGATGTTCTTGTCCGTGAAAGGAGTAAACCAGAATTTGCAGGAAGATGAAAAGCAAGCCTTCTGCTCCCACCTGAAAAAACTGCTGCCCCGGGGTGCGGCACGGGGGGGTAACGCCTGCTTCCCTCTGCTTTCTCCCCAGCTGGCCGGAGGCATCATCCTGGGAGTGGCCCTGTGGCTCCGGCATGACTCGCAGACGACAAGTATCCTCTACCTGCAGCTGGGGGACAAGCAGGCCCCCAACACCTTCTACGTCGGTAAGTAGGTCTGGGGATGCTGCCGTGGCCGCGTGGGCAGCGTGCCCCCGGGGTGGGCTGCAGCGTGCCCAAAAGCTGGGTGGAGAGCTCCGGGTGAGCAGCGACGAGGTCGAACTAAAAATACCTCCTGCTCCCCAGCACATCCCCCCGTGCCGTGCCAATCCAAGCGCGTTCCTGGAATGTTGGCTGCGGCCCAAGCGCAGAATCCAAAGTGCAAAAAGACGTGGCGTGGTGTAGCGGGTTTTCTCCGGTGCCGTCCTCCGCCGCGGTCTCCCCCGGAGCACAATTTGGGAAGAGGGGGGGACTTCTTGGAAGCGTGTCTTGTTTCCTATCCAAAGGGATGTTAAAAGTAGCCGGCGGAGCGGCTGGCAGTGGAAAGTGAAGCTCGGCGAGCTCGTGACTCATGTTCTCCAGGAGGGGCAGGTGGAGCCTCTGTGTGTTATGGTTAAGCTTAGCGTGATTTTTATGGATTTGCCAGCACGCTGGCTTGCTGGAAGATGAAACCCCCTACTTTTGCTCTATTCTCCAATGATCCCTCGCGAACGAGGGGGATCAGCTTGCAGGAGGGGCTGGCTGCCAGGCAGGGGCTGGCTTAGAGTGCAAGCCGCCGGGGCTGGGGCGAGGACCTGTCTGATCCCATGTCCTGTTCCCACCTGTAGCTGAAATTACCTCCTGGAAAGGGTTTTCCTTTGGTTTTCCCTGCTTGCCCGTGAAACGGCATGCCTGAGCCCCTCTCCCTGGCTGCGCCTGGTTACAGCAGACACTCCTGCTGTAAACAGTGGTGGGTTTTCCTCTCTTGCTGTCTCCCCTCTCCTGCCTCACACTCCAAGCTGTATTTACAACTTTTCCCCTTTGTAGATCTCAATTTTAAAAAGAAAAACTTAAACTCTTAAGAAGTTAAACTCTCTCCTTTCTGGGACCCAGCCCAAACATGTCCTTCCTCCTGGGGGCCAATAACTGATGTCTCCCTACTTAACACCTTTCTCCTCAAACCTGGGGGACCTGGAGCTTGGGGGCCAAGTGCTCCCCTCCCACCTTTTGGGCATCTTTTGCTCTTCTCCCACCTTTTTGTTTTGTCTTTGCCCTTGGCCTTTGCTATTTGGAAGGCGATGGGGAACAGACTGCAGGTCCCACCACTGCGCTGGCTTTCTGACGCCCATGAATGGCCCGTGATTTGAGGCTGACTGTCTTTTTAAGGTTATATTCAGCAACAGATCCGCCTGGATTCCTTCTGGCGGCTGTAATTTCCATGCAGTAATAACAGCAGAGCATTTCTTTCAGCTGCTGCCTCTCCCAGCCAGCCCTCTGGAGTCTGAAGGCTGGGATTTCTTCTTGCTTTTTCTATTTTTTCCCCTTCCCTCCTCTCTCCCCCCCAACTGATACTCCCTCCTTTTTCTCCTCTGGCATCCAACATACACATGCACACAATGTTCCTGCTTCGGGAGCAGGAACCTCTCTGGAGTTGGCCTCCAGAGCTGTTTTTTTTGTTTTTGTTTTTGTTTTGTTTTGTTTTGGTTGGTTGGTTGGTTGGTTGTTTTTTTTTTCCCCCTTGCAAACCACTTTTTGGTGTCTGGCACAGGCCACTGTTCCTAGGATCTGTCAGGAGGCTTTTAAAGGCTGGCCAGGCTTTGCTGCGGTGCGGCCGGACAGGGGGAAGGAATAAAAACTGTCAGAGGAGGAAAACTTGTGCTGTGGGGTTTATACTTAGTGAGGAGGGAGCGGGAAAGCTTTTGGTGTCTCCTGGTTTCTCTCTGTGTTTTTTTTTCGCTGCCCCAAAGTTGGAGCTCTTCTGTTAAAGGCTGTTTTCCCAGGGTGTCCCTGTGTTATGGGAGAGATTAAATAATGAGCACAGCTGACTGGTGTGTGGGATTTGATGGCAATGGGGAAGCGGGAAAAGGAGGATGTGGGGAGCAGGGCAGCTCCCAAGGCCCCTCCCGGCGTGATGCCTGCCTGCCTTCAGCCTGCTGCAGGAGCAGCCCGAGAGGAGCCCCCCCCTGCCCCCCCAACACTCTGGCGCTGCATCCAACCAGCCGTCTTGTGGGCTGACTCGGGCAGTTATTAAACGAGCTCTTGTTCCTGGGCTTTTCCTCAGCACGGCTGGCAAACCATCTGATCCCCTAACCACTTGTTGCAGCCTTGGCTTTTGGCACTTCCATTCTGGCTGTGGACCCAACGCTCCAGCAAATGGCAAGTTAACTGCTTCAGCGCTGTGAAGACTACGCGGTACCAGGGATGGGAATAGCTGGAGCACCATACTGTCATGCTTTCATGACTATGAAGGAAGATACTTGCTCTTCATCTGAGATAGGCTTATGGTACAATATGCATTTATTTGCTTTATTTTTAGTTGAAAACCTAAAATCCTTGCCACTTGCCCCTGCATAACACTGTGTGTGAAGTTCTCTGCGTGTCTGGAGGCCAGGCAAGGTTTTGACAGCAGGTCAGAAAACGTTTTTCAAGGTAGCTAGAGGCATTGATAAGTTGTATGCTAACAACTGGTTAACCACTTCCTAGATATTTATTGAACCTAGACATAAAATATCATTAAAAAAAAAAAACAAAAACAAACCAAAACTGTGAGTCAATGAGTTATGAGAGCCCATGGGAAAAGGCTGAGCTGGTTGATCTCTGTGGATACCAGTACAAACTGGAGCAGTCTGATCTCTCCACAGTAAGTTGGTGCTGTGGTGTGTCACTGGCTTTAAGAGCCCTTTGGGATCTTGAAAAGACTACTGACACTGGATTTACTGCTTTTGCCCCATCTTGGTGGGGCGATAGTGAAGATGTGACAGTGGAAAGCCCAGTTCCCCATCCTTCAAGGGTTTGGTTTATGTGATGCCCAGAGACGGCCGCTGCGGGCAAAATGCTTTCAGCGGGATGGGGACAAAAGCCTCGGCTCTTGTTGGCCTTAAATCCCCACCCCTGGATTTCACATTTCCCCCCTTGCTGGGCCGCCTGGGTGCTGGGAGCATCGCCGGGCGCTCGTCCCTGCTGCCCGCCCTCCCCGTGCTTCCCCCGAAGCTGCCCGGCAAGGCAGCTGGATGGGCTCGCCTTCGCTCTCGCCTGCCGGATCCAAAATAGGAAATCTGCCTCCAGCTGCTCGCGGCAAGTGGCAGGGTGACACGACCCGTGGCTCTAATTAGCTCGGCCCTGGGAGCGGGGCCAGCCACGAGGAAGAGGGCGAAGGCATCCAGAGCTGGGGTGCGGTTTTCCGTGCAGCTCTGGGGGTGAGAAAGGGGGTTGGTTTTGCTTCTGATTCGTGGGTTTTTTTGTGTTTGATTAGTAAATCCTCTGCTGGGTGGTGTCTCCTCCCCAGAGCACGGTGACACCGGTGCTCCTTGCGGGGAGTGGAAGGTTTTGGACAGGCGTGCAGTGGAGGTTAAACTTGGCCACCAAGGCTGCTGCCACCGCTGCCTTTCCCCACTGTCCTGAGTGGATATCACTGCCCCAACAGAAAGGCAACAGGGTTTTGGTGGTTTTTTTTTAGGTTGGTTTTTTTTTTTTGTTTTGTTTTTTTTTTTTTTTTTTGTTGTTGTTGTTGTTGTTGTTGTTGTTTTTTTTTTTTCCCCTAGCAACCAGGCTGGTGATTGTGGATCTGGCTCCCAGGCAGGTCAGGCAGCAAAGGGAGACAAGGCGGGGACAGCTAATTTTAAGCCCATGAGCCTGCCTGCGAAGCGGTGTGCTGCGGTAGTGCTGGCGGGGAGCCTGGCTAACAGGAACGCAGACTTCCTAACGAGGTGAATCACAGACTCCCCTCACCATCCTGCTCCATCCACACACAATCCAGGATGATGATTTCTGCTCTGGAAAGGAGTTCAAGCTGCTTTTCACGCAGACGGGGCTGGAAGGAATGGGCCAGAATGCACAGGGATGCTTTGAAGTCTTTCTCCCAAACGAGTACGCATCTGAGTTGAACTGCAGTTGCAGGAGGGGCTGCCGAGTGGCCGCGTGTACGTGGGTAGGGATCGGGATGCCTGCCTGAGCTTCTCCACTGTCCTTGCAGCATGTGAGGATGCTTCGGTGGCTCTTGCCGTGCGTCCCAGGTGTGGCCAGCACTCCAGAGCACCCCAGCACGTTATCCAAACAGGCTTGGGTTGGCGAAGCAGTCGTGGAGGAGCTGTCCCTTCTATCCGTAACAGCAGCTTTTTTCTTTCTTAATTAGCCTTTTCAGGACTGCCTTGGACAAAAAATGAGTGATTTTGAGGATTCAGAGAGGTTTTCGTTGAAGAAAGGATTTTGCTGAGCTCCGGTGTGTTGCAAAGGCTGTGGAAGCCAGCAGTGTTACAGGGACTGTGGGACCAGTTGTGAGCAGCGGGGAGTTCTTGGTTTCTCTTCATGCTCCCAGCCTTGTCCCCACCCCTCCAGAAATATTAGGCATCTCTTACAGCTGGTACCAACTTCTGTATATCGTGGGGTTAGACTCAACAGGTTTGCTAAACTTGTCGTCAAAGGGCTAGAGAAGAGCCTGAGAGTCATGGTTTCTAGGTCCTGTAATAAACACTAGCGAAAAGCCGCCTTTGGTTTTGGCATGAGGTGCTGCAGCGATCCCTGCGGATGCACGCGGCTGGTTCCGCACTGGATTCTTCTCTCACCCATTTCTGCTCTACTTTTGCAAGGCTCCGTGAGTCAGTGGTTTGCAAGTAGAGACAAGCCATGGCCAGGCTTGCATGCTTGCAAGTGGAAACCAAGGTTTGCATTTGGCCTTGAACCACAGTGAGCAAAACAGATTATTTGAAAAATAATATATATGTGGACTTTTTAAAATAGAGGTACATGCATTTTTCTCTTTTGGAAATAAACTTATTTACAGTTAAGGGCAATTTAATTATTTAGTCCCTTAAAGGGAAAAAAAAAAAAAAAAGCTGTGATTTAGTGGTTCTAGGTTTTCTTCTAATCGCTGTCAGATCAGCTCCTTCAATAATACTGGAGTTCTGTTTAAAATTGTAGTTTTGAGGCAAAACACTGTCAGTACTTCCCATTAAGTATCTGGTTTACACCAT